GAGCACGGCGGTTCCATCCATTATAGGCAAAGTAATGTGACTTCATTCCTTTCTTTTGCATTGGCACAAAATTGCTCCAGGTTCTTCGTGAATTTAATTTCAAGCAGAATAAGAAAGAATGTGTATTAAAAGAAAAAGAGACAGATGTTTTTTTTTTATTTTCAAGGTTAATTTCATCTCTGAATCAATGTGTTAATATTCTGTTCTCCTCTGGCAGGCCTCCCAAAGTGATTGCCAATGCTTTCCACAATGTGTGCCTACAGTGGAACACACTCCAGCACAGTCACAGTAAACCGCTTACCTTCTCTTAAACACACAGGCACACCACAAATCTTTCTGTCAGAGCCTTCACTGCTGGATACCACAAGGAAATACACACTCGACACTCACTAAAAGCTATTTGTGAATCTCCTCGGTTGCATCGCACTATTGTGAATGATCAGTTTTCACTTTAAGTGATCAAATAATAGGATGCAGTTAAAGGATTCACAACATTGAATCTTGGGATCTTCTTATATCAATCCTCTGCCACTGGTACAGGTAAGTGGTCATTGTACCATTATGATGTTAATTTAAAAGATCAGTTTTTGATCCAAGTAGACAGTCTGTTAATTAAGAAAGGTGCTTCCAAGGAAATAAAATATGAGGTTTGCTGGGTATTGTTTTTCTACATTCTGTAGTATCAGTGCTGGAATGTTAGCTTTAATAATGATATTGACCTAAGCATGCGTTTTAATTAACTAATTGTTTTTCCTCCTCCATTTTAATGCTCAGCTGTTCAGATGTATTGAATAGTTTGCACAATATTAATCTGTAGTCTCCCTCACAAGGCTCACTAGGTCAGAGGTCAAGTGGAAGGCCAGTCACAGTTGCCAGGGGTGATTCTACAGCACTGAAAATAGAACATCTTTCCATTAGCACCTTCTGTGGGCATGAACTAAGCACAGTGCAAAAATGTTGTTATTTCACAGCATGTCAGATTCATGAAAGGAATATTCTTTCTCATTGTTATTCCTGCTAATATATGGATTTGTCGCTATAAGTAAAATACAGCTTTCATGTGTCTGATTTCACATATGAATGGATATATGATTTTTTATCACTTTTAAAATGCAGTGTTTATGGTCACATCAAAAAAGAGTAGAAAATACAACAGAGATTGAAGTCCATTAAAAAAAAAACACTTCATGCGGATTCTTAAAAATAACTACAAGTGCTACACTCTGGAACAGTCCATCTGAAATTTTATTTCCAAACTCATTCAGAAACTGATCTTGCCAGATAGCAATCCTGCCAGGAGATTTCTGTCACCTCGCTTCACTATTGCTTCATATTTCTTTGCTATCTGCAATAGAAACAAAATCATACTACCAGTGTACCAACTTCAAACCAGAAGGTTCTGTGACGTAGATTATACAAATAGCAGGCCACACAGCACAATAAACTATCATTTTATTTCCTTCCAAAATCTTCACAGGGGATCCACTGCCATTTATGGAACGACAGATGGAGTAATATATTAGCCAGGCAGGGGAAGCCCGGTATGGATGTATAGTTGCTGAAGCCCTCCTGCCATCTTGCGAAGGCAGTGTAAAAATAGCCTCCTCAACACCCCTGCTATGTACTACTTACACATAACGTGTAGTAATCAGGCTCAGCTTTGATAGAAGCAGTGTTCAGAGGGATCTTATAATTAAGTAGCCTCAGGCAACACTTGATCTTTAACAACCTCCAAAGCCATGAAGCCAAACAAACCAACAATCAAGCCTACCTTGAGGGATCTGTTTCAGTGTTCGTTTTTTTTTGTTCGGCTGGACTGTGGCGTTATCACTACGTGGGTGCGGATTTATACATTTGTAGATGAGTCTGCGTGTGTAAACATTGTTTATATTTATTTTAAAGTTTCTTCACACGTGACCTAAAACCTTTTCGGATGCCACAAAAATAGGTTTTAATTTACCCCCAAGGACCTAAACAAGCTGACACAGAATACAACATCTGCTGTGCTTAGGTAAGCTGCCGTTACTATGGTTACTAGCTAGGCTCACTAAACACTGGTGCACTGTGCCATTATCGTTAAGCTGCAGAAGAACCCTGACAGAGGGCAGAAGTCCCTCAGCCCACACACACAAAATAACTTTAACCATTTCAAAGTAAAGCTCATCACTGCAAGTGCTACCTGTGTGTACTGAGTGACGCCCGTGACACACAATGCAAAAAATTAAAAGGGATAATTAGTCGCACTGCTAAATCAGGATCAGTATACAAGTGTGTATTCGAGGAAGTAGCAGTATCTACAAGGAAGATGGACCTTCTGAAGAAAGACTCAAGGAGAAAAAGAAATAATTAGGACAATCTAACTACCAGTGCCTGCTGTGATTGCCTTGTATCCCTGCTGATGAAAGCTATACAGCACAGAGCTGCCCTAACGTTTGACATACTGAAAGTGACACAAAACCATGCTAATGTTGAAGTCCAGCTGGAACAGTCAGTGTTTTAGCATTTTAAATAAATTATGCCAGTTTGGCATGGTCTTGTACACTGTGACACTGCCTGCACCAAATGTAAATGACATAGTTATGATTTATAGTTATGATGGAGCAGCAACCATATTGAGATACATTTGGAAGATATGACCATTACTATAGCATTACACATTTCAAGTACTGTACACTATATATGCACTGTATACAGTACTGTACTGCCACTCAAGCAATTGCACTATGCCACACCATTATAAAAGTAGCTTTCCTCCTTCCTTCACTGAGGATCGTGGTGAAATAAAGCACAAGAGAATATCTTGAAAATAACATTAAAATCTAAGGGAAATCTGAAATAACAACTTGAAACTGTTTCAGAAAACTGATCAGCAATGCCACAAAGGAAATCTTAAAAAGCTTGACTTTATACCCATAATGCTTCTTCTGTATGTTGGAGGACTTATGGGTTTATGGGAAAGGTTCGTTAGCAATGGCATGATTGCAGTACATTATGTTTACAGCCTGTCTGAGGCTAGGAATGATTTATATACTAAATGTTCACATATTCTTTAATTGAGTGATTACACCTCATTCTTTTGCTCAACAGCAGGCAAGTCGGGTTTGTATTCAGTAGTTCAGGAGATAGAAAACATGATCACTGTGAATGAGTGTATATCAAAATACATAGCCAACAACACATAACTGGAGTTATACCATTAGTGTCAATATTGTATAGATTGAAAGAAATCTAATCCTGACCTGTAGTCTCCATAAAACTGTTTTTGATAGCATTGTATACACAATATGGGATTAGACAGAGGTATCTTCTGTTTGTCCCCTTAGACTAGTCAATGATGAGATGAATTATCAATTAAAATAAAAACGTTCCAAGACTGGTGGTAGCTGTAGTAAAATAAACAGTAGTTTGTTCTATATACTGTATACCATAACAAGATATAAAATTAATTTTAATTTAAAGTTACAAATTAAGTTTCACATTAAAGCTACATTACCACATTGTTCTGACCATCAATACACAGGCCAAAAAGTCTTATGGCATTGTGATTAAAATTGGCATTTAACCGCAATTAAATCAATCCAACCTAGCATTCATATGAACTGACCATAATATAAACTGTCCTCATAAAGATACTGAAATGACAAAAGGTTGAGATATTTACAGTAAAGTACATGGTCATTTACAGTATATACTGTAGTAAATGGAGTGAAAGCAGAGCTGTCATGGTTGTGCTCTCCAGTCCCAACATCTTTCAACTATTGATATTTGAGGGACAAATTCAAAAGAAACAGGGAGATAACGTCACAGATTGAAAAGATGCAGAGAGCAATTCCTAAAATGACTATAATATGCATTCTAAGTCTTGACAATATATTTATTATACTGCATAATTTCTGACTGCTTTTGAACAGAATAACACATTTCTAGGATATTTCCAATGTTTACAGTACAATATTTACAGAATTGTCGGAATATTCTTACAGAAGATAAAATAAGTGGGGTATAGGACCCCAAAAGTAGATACATTTGTCCACAAAGTTCGCTTTCAGCTGGAACACTGTGAAAAAGGAGACCACTACCTTAGCTCAGTGTTCCTCCTCTTTTTTACTGAACAATAGGGAAACTACAGCTTTACTGAAAGCATCTTAAAATAATTTTCTCTGCTGTGAACACTGCATACATGTTCTTTATATTTTGCTAAGCAAATAAATCACCTAGACAGCAGTTATACAACAGCTCTGAGGGGATGGTGCTAAACTAAAATCAATTACTCCTGTACTTCATTCAACGCTCAGCAGAGCACTTCTTGTCTATAACATAGCAGAAGGCATGCAATGCTGACTCTGATTTAAAAACAAGACCAGATTGCTTTGCAAAGTTTTTTCTTCTGTGCCACGGCTCCGAAACACTGTGTTTTCAACCTGTTCTTTGTTGTATTAATAAATGCTAGCCTGAATGAGTGTCCCACAAATAATACAATTTATGTATGTAATTCACACTTGATTCACAGGTACAACCTTCACATACTGTATTACCGCCACTCAGTTCGGTGAGCTTTCTACTTTAACTGAGTGCATCACAGATAAAATAAAATATAAAATATACATCATGTCTGACTGAGTCATTTTATATTCTCCATCCATCTACATACAGTATAATTAGAGTCAGCTTTAACAGTGCAGCACAGATACAGTACATTCAATTTCTTAGGCTGCACAGTTGTAGAATCCCCAAGTACTTCTCCTTCCCGTCTGAGCAGGCAGAAAAGTGTGAAACCCTTAACAGTAGGGCTCTCGTCCTGCCTCCACCCACCTCGCAGAGAACATTAAGACTGAGGACGCTACGGTTTTCATCATACAACTAGTACTTCACATCCCCCTTCCCTTGTTACTTAACCAATGATGACATACAGTACACGAGGAGTGGAGAAAAGTTCCTTCTCAGCATCAGACAGGCAGCATTTCTCTAAAAGGCGCTGTTGAGACCCGCGAGGTACTTACAAGAACTCTGCCTGTCAATGTCTGTGCAGATATCATGACCCCAGCCCAGTCTTTGACAGAGGTCATCCAGCCCACTTCGCTCGCTGGGGTCTCCTCTTTCTCGTCGGGACCCTTGGCAGACCCGTCTGCTTGATTACCTGCATTACTGTTAATCTTCTGTGCTTCCTGTACAAGGAAAAAACACAATGTCATCATCAGTCACTGTCATCTCTGACAGGTTGAGAAGAATCCTAACAAATTATTTCCCTGACAATTATTTCACAAGCCCACACCAATTTCTAACAACATATATAAAAAACATTCCCAGAATACCCTTCTTTTCTGCTTTCATTTTTTCTCTATGTTAATATGCCATTTACTGTATTAGGCATATTATGGGACACCATAATAATTACTGAAGCTTTAAAATGTATATGTGTGTGTTATATATATATATGTACAGTATAGTGTTCATTTGTTTTGTTTTTTAGTTTGTCTCCTTTCTGATTCATTCAGGAAGTATTAGTTTGTTACATTTTGTCTACAACTTAACCTAGACAGTTTTAACAAGATTTTCACACAGCTCCGTCCCTGGTTGAAAAGAAGGGGACAGTAGTGCTAGCATTTCACCATTACCACATTCCGATGTCACTGCCATAAATCACTGTGAGGTCAATTCTGACTGTAAGACTGCTCTCTGAGCTAATTAGGTAGATGTGCATGCATGCCAGTCATTATTTATGATTTTTTTTTCTTTCAAACTCCTGACGCCTGAAAGAATGATTTCAGGCGTCCGTAGTATTAGAACACAGAAGTTGCTCAGCCCTGAAGGATGACCTTCTTGAATGGTATAAATCACTTTCGCTTCCTAACAACGAATTAGCAATTAAGTTTATCTCAGCAAAGGGTTTTGTAACTTGGCATGGTGGACACACTGAGGGAAATGGCAACACTTTTCTCAAAAGGGAAAAACAAATCTACACTCTGTAGAAACATCACCAGCTTCCTAAGAACTCTGGAATTTAAGATGATGAGTCACTACAACATATTTAATAATTATGACATTGTGAGGGGAGAAGAGAAGGGCAAGCCTCAGTCTAATCATTTTACAAATCAGGGCTCTCCTGTTCTTTGCAGCTGCTTGCAGTACAATGTATAAAACTGCTTCAGTGCAGTTGTTTTAAACATGCAGACAAAGAAGTTAGCATCTGATGTTTTGCTAAACCACTAAGTACTTGTACAGAATCAAGGCAAAGTAAAGCACAAAAGGTGTGCCTGTTTTCTGAACACTAATATCCAGGACACTGAAACCTAAAGCATTGCTCATTTAGACTTCCTGACGCAACATCTCTGCAGAAGGTGAGCCGTGTGGGCTGTGTACAGGGGAAGGCATGATTCACTCTGCAAGACGTCAACGGGAGATCGGAAGGTTATATCCTTAGAGTCACAATACAGTTCATTTTCAGGTGGGTGGGAAATGTCAGCATTTACAGTATATTTATTATTTATATTTTTATCCAAGAGCCCTGATGGCCCATTATAGGGTACGGTCCTTCCTGTTGACCTGCTGATCAGAATTTGATACCTTTCCATTCTTTGGATTTTTTTGTGGCTACCAACTTCAGTCAGATGCCAAACAACAAAGACGAAGAAACAGAGGTCCCCATGAAAAGCATATCCTGAACTGCACGGCCTTTCATACACAAGTCTATCATGCCGACGCTGAACCATGTGATAGCGCAAATGCACAATACCTACCATTCAGGCGCTAGTGGAAAAAAACCCATGTTCTTCAAATTATATACCAGAAATAACATAACACAGCTTTAGCCATGCAATACAGCGTTACAAAAACTGTTCTTCCCCAGTGGTAGGCTGTCATAAACTTAAAAACGTATTATCCTATCCTAGCATTTTACTTGGCCTCTGTTACTCTCTACACAAATAGACCGGCAGTCCTTTCAGCTAGCAAAAACGTAGTAGCTGCTGGCCATTAAGATACGAAAATTCCAAAGCAAGCAGTTGAAGTTTCGACTTCAACCCGAAGGCCTATTAACATGGCACACTGTGACACATTATTGAATTATCCCATTAATATTATATTCACATTTGACAGACACTACTAGTATGCCTGGGTATCAGAACACAATCACAACAAAGAAGCTGTTTACTCTAACTATGGTATCTGGTATGAGAGGATTTTCTAGTAAAATGGGATTACTGTTGGTAATTGTTCTTCTTGGTAACAGCTGGCATTCTGATAATTGGATTCCTCTTGTAGTAACAAGTTAGTCCTAGAAAGTACAGTAGTTGTTTGATATCAGTGCAAGACGTTCAAAAAAAAATCTTTGCTTGTTTCCTAGATCTTCTGCAATGTGTTGAGAAAATGCGTTGTGAATGTTTACTTGAAAAAAGGCTGGCACAAAGAGGTTTTTTTTACCCTCCCCTGGCTGCAAGACAAGGAACTTATGACCCCCTGCAGAGTGAAATGAACCAAGGGGAGCAGGAAGGATGCAAAATGCGTAATGCTACTATGAGCGAGAGAGGGGCTTCCTGTGATTTTTGATAACATTTCAGGAAGTGACATCATGGAGGATTACAAGGAAGAGCAGCAGAAATGAATTCACTCTGCAGTGAATTATGGAGCAACTGCAGGAACTGAAGTGAAAAAAATGGACTTTGTAACAAACATGAACGTTTGTTAAAAATTCCATATAAGCACAATGAAGACGTCTGATTTTTGTGCTACCAGGTATACGTCACCTTTAAATGTTCCTTCAGCTTTGCTCTGTTGTTGTTGCACTGCAGTCATGCAGGACTAGATGCGCAGTACTCACAATGTGTGGGTAGAGATTATATTTCATTCTGATTGGATACCCCACTTCAAAGAATTTCTGGCATGTAACTATGCAGCATGTGCTATCCCTTAGCATGAAAATACATCTTTGAAGGGGACTAGGATCTATTCAAGCCACAGCTCACCGAGCACGGGATATGAATGAAAGTGATCCACCCCAGATAAGACGAGTGCACGGAAAAATCACAATGCACTTTAGATATCATATCCAACTAGCAGCTCAGCTATGACTATGTGACTTCAGGTTTGCATTTTTTTTGTATATGCTTTCAGTGCACCGATCCTGAGAGACAGGAGGTTTCACCACTTCTACATTTCAGCTAAATTAGTCACAATAAAAACACAGCATTGTTATAATTATAAGGTCACCTGACCACAGCTCAAAGTTATTTCCTTACAATAAAAAAAATTAACAAAACAAATAGCTTTCATTACTGGTTCAGAGATACTCAAATACATGATGATATGAAAGATTCTAAATGAAACATTTTTAACCAGCTGACTCAGAACACCCGCCCATGATCCCCGCTGTGCATCAGCTCAGAATAACACTACCCCAGACAGCGACTGTTCTAAGACAAGCACCCCTGATCTTGATTTTGCAGGAAATTTAGAGATGGAGAAACCAACGGGACTTTGTTTAAGAGAGGAAAATGTCTGTCCAGCTGCCGAAACAGCCAGGAAAGTAAAGCACTGAAACCACATTAAGCATTATTTCTAAGAAGCCAGCGGGGCGTATGAATAGATCTAAAGAGACAAAGTAAACAAAAGAAGATTCTGCTCCATTTCATAGATAATACACACAGGCTGCACTTCTCCTGCAGAAAATAGGACACGGCCTCTCAAAGCATGCCACGGGATACTCCACGTACTAATTTTATCCATGAATGTCATTCTGGGAACGTAAGTTTCAACATGGGGGGGTTCTGGAGAATCGTCCTGCATGAGGTTCCACACACATGGAAGCCAAACCGAGTGAGTGGCTGTGAAGGTGAAGAGCTGAGGAGTTTTCTCCTGTTAACAGTGCATGAGCACAGTACACAGCACCTGGGTTAGTTCAAGTGGATCACTGGGCACGGGGGTGAGTGCTGTCCAGCTAGAGCTGTCCTAGAGCCATTACAGAACTCAGGGGGTGGAAGGATCTCTCTCGATAACCTTTCAGGTAACAAGGGGAATGAGCACTGATGCTACATAGCAAGTCATTCACGAGAAAGGATTCATTACTACAGTTTACTACATTCAAGTTCAACTACTAATTGAACACAGGTAGAAAAATATATTTGAAAAAAATGAAAATAATGGAATGACATCCATGGGTCGTATTAAAACCACTGATAAATGTCAGCATTCGGAAGTACCCCTAAATGTTCTATTTTATTTCTTGTTTGTGCTGTGACAACATGTGTTAGCAGTTCTAAGCCCTCTCTTGCGAAAAATCAAACCAAGAAAACGGGAAATTCACTGCTCTTTGTAAATCGAAAGTCTGGTGACATCAAGGGTCACCCCCTGGCAGAAATTCATTTGAACGGCGCATTTGTTGCTCAAAAGGGGGCAAACTTTCAAAGCCGTTCCTTTTCTCAGCTGCATTTTGCTCCCCTTGGCTGTATTATAGACTGAAACAACACTACCAATCATTCTTAAAATACACGAGCACTGAAAGGAGCTGAAAGTTCTGTGGCAAGCTGTTTCAGTTCACTCAGATCAATGAGGAGATGGAGGCAGACCTCTTGAATAATGTGGCAGACTTTCAATAGGCATTGAAACCCATGTATTAAGTTACACAATATTTATGTCTTGTGTACGCACACTACCAGTACTTGGTTCACAGAGTACGTATAGTAATAACTTTAACCACAGTATTTCATAAACAGATGTGATTTTTTTTTTATTTTTAATTTTCTGTCAAGGATTTAATGGATATAAATGTAAGACTGTAATGTCTGTCTCACTGCGGTGTCCCGTACTGGAGTGCCAATGGGAAGACCCCATCATAACAAGTGGCAGAAACAAGGCAATGTGACTCAGCTAAGCAAATGCGACTGGGCTTTTCTGCAGCTGTTACTTTGACTTTCATTGTGCATCATTAGGGAATAATCTGTTCCAATGGGACTTTTATTTTTAACTTGAACCAGGGAAATGAGAATCTAGTCAATGTGATAACACTGTGAATTACACATGACATTTTGTTTCCACAGTAGGTTGGTAACAAAAAACCTCTCATTCTTCTCATGTTTTTCCTATTTTACTACAGCATAACCACCTTGCACTCAGTAAACAGCTGCCTCAACAATCTGCGTTTGTTGGAACAAACAGAATTCACTAAGAGGAA